ACCGGTGCCGCCGTGGGTGTCCCACCGGTGTCACCCTGGGTGCCCCACCGGTGCCGCCGTGGGTGTCCCACCGGTGCCGCCGTGGGTGTCCCACCGGTGCCGCCGTGGGTGTCCCACCGGTGTCACCCTGGGTGTCCCACCGGTGTCGCCCTCGGTGTCCCACCGGTGCCGCCCTGGGTGTCCCACCGGTGCCACCCTGGGTGTCCCACCGGTGCCGCCGCGGGTGCCCCCGCGTGCCCCGGCCCCGCTCGGGGCGTTTCCGCGCCCCCCGGCCCCGCCGTGTCCTCTGCTCCCATTGGTCGCTCCCTCTCGCCGCGGGGCGCGGCAGCCAATGGCGCGCGGCGCGGCGGCAGGGCCCGCCCTCCGAGCGGCGGCCCGGCGGGGGCGGCGCGGGAGCGGCGGGAGCGGCCATGAAGGTGAGGGGGAGCCGGGAGCGGGAGGCGGCCGGGAGAGCGCCTCGCCCTCTGCGGGGAAGGAAGGAAGGAGCAGGGGGCGAAGCGGGGAGGGTGACGGGGCCGGCAGCCCGGCGGCATGGCCGGGCCGGGCCGCCCCTCACGGCTCCCCTCAGGCCGCGGCCGCCGTCCCGCCGCGCTCTGAGGGGAGCCCGGGGCGGCGGCGCCCGAGCCGAGGGCCCCGCGCTGAGTCAGCGGCGGGCACGGCCCGTGAGGGGCTCGGCCCGGGAGGGGATCGGGCCGTGAGGGGTTCGGCCCGTGAGGGGCTCGGCCCGTGAGGGGATCGGGCCGGGAGGGGATCGGCCCGGGAGGGGATCGGGCCGGGAGGGGCTCGGCCCGGGAGGGGATCGGGCCGGGAGGGGCTCGGCCCGGGAGGGGATCGGGCCGGGAGGGGCTCGGCCCGGGAGGGGCTCGGGCCGTGAGGGGATCGGCCCGGGAGGGGCTCGGGCCGGGAGGGGCTCGGCCCGGGACGGGCTCGGCCCGGGAGGGGATCGGGCCGGGAGGGGATCGGGCCCGGCGGCGGCTCCCGCGGCCGGACAGCCGCGGTGGTTCCCCTGAGGCGCCGCTGGGCCGTCCCGGAAAGGCTCAGCTCGGTCCAAAGGTGGGTGTAAAGAGGAAGTTTCAGTTCAAATGATTAAAAATAAATCCCTCCCACCGCTCTCCTGTCGTTCTGCGGCTTTGGTAGCACACCCAGCTTGCACAGGTGTGTCAGGAGCAGCAGGTGAAATCCTCCTCGGCTAACTAAACACCCTTAAAGCTGAAAACAACAGCAGAGAAGTTGGAATGCAGGATTTTGCTCCTTTGAGATGCCCATAAGGTATGGAGAGGGACGATACCGATGGCAGCTTGTCCATGGAAGTGGAGGCTGAAATTGGGAATGTTTTGATTAATTCTCAATGGACGGATTTTTTGGTTTAGCCTGTTTAATTCGTGTGTTGTGTTGGTGCTTTTCAGCACTGTGCCGTTTCTTTTACAGAGCAACGTGGAGAGTCTAGACTCTGTAATTCAATTATCAGTTAATGACCTGAGGGCACAGAAGGAATCCACAGGTGATGTGGGTTAAGGAGAAAATTAATGCCCACGTAGCCCTGCCTTTCACCTTAAGTGGGTGGTTGGCAACAAGATAAAAGAGATTTTCTGTTTGATACCAACAACTTCGGTGTGTCCAAAATGGGTGATGAAAAATTCCTAAAAATATGTTTGGTGTTGACAGTGATGTCTGAACAGTTGTTACAGTCTCTGGAATAAAATAAGTCAGAGAAGCAGGTGTTAAACTCTCAGGCGGGGCTGTGGTATCAAATGTCTCGTGTCCCTTTAATCATTGTGTGTCCTGCTGCTGCTGTGACCCCCTGAGGCCATAGTTGTGTAAAAAAGGAAGTTGAATTTTGACAGATCCTTTTGGTTCGTTATTTTATTTTTCTGTTATTTAAATGTGGCTGCTTTGAAATATTTTAGGTATATAATTAGTTCCTCAGTTTTGAAGAAGTGATGAATGAGAGGAATGGTTGTGTTACAGTTTTCCCTTAAGTATTTTTCAGAACTTCCAAGTTTTAAAACTCAGAGCTCTCCTGAGCTGTCATTGGTATTCAGGATGTATTTCTGGAAAGTTACTTCCTGTTGCCTAATAAACCAGCATAATTATGTTTTATCCAGGGAAAGCTAATATGAATGCATTTCCACGGTGCTTATAATGGAGAAGTATAAAACAAGCTTTAGTTTGAGGCTGGGATGGGAGCTCCAGGCTGGAGGGAGCTGTGTGAGCTCCCTGGAGGTCAGGGAAGGGCTGCTGGAGTTCATCCCCTGGAGGAAGCTGAGGAAGATCTTCTGTGCCCGGGGTACCCAGGGCACGGAGGGTTCTTGCTTCACCAGGATGAATTCTGCTGTTGAAATATCCATAATGATGAGTGGATGTAACAGATGAGAGGATTTAATTATAATGTATATTTGATGTTGTAACTGAAGCTCTTGTTGTTACCTTTTGTGCTCTGTGGTTTGAAGGGAGATGTTCTGGCCCATCCCCAGTTATTCTGGCATTAAGTGCCCACAAATGTCAGAGGACTGTGTTCAGTTCAGGGCAAATGTGCAAATTCACCTAGAAACTAGTGTAGTTACAGGAATTAAAGCAGCACGTTACAGAGCTGAAGTGTGTGTTCTGGCTGGTTGGGGTTTTACAGCAAGATTTAAACGTCTCAAAAGCAATTATTTTCTGTCTTGGTGCTTTGGAGAAATGAAAAAGAGAACAGCTGTTAAAGGAAAAAACATGAAAAAGTAATTGTGTTTAAAGGACGTTGTACCCCTCAGTTTCCTTTCAGGGAGAACCTGATGTGATTCTGTTTGCCCCTCATGTTTTTTCTAGCAGGTCTCAGGGAGCACCTGACAGTGATTACACTTGTGACCTGCCCAACTTGGAGTCCAAATTCCACCTTTAAGTAGAATGTGAGCTTTTGATAGAGAATCAATCCAGTGCTGAAGACTTCCAGGGATAAAAAGTAGCACTTTGTTTATGTGTTCAGAATTTCCAATGTTTTAAGATTATGTGACTCAAAACTGAAATAAAATCAGTAGAAAATAAGTTTATTTAGATTTATTTTAACTTTTATTAGACATTTGGTAAGGCAACAAAGCAAGGAGAGATCTTGAAAAATGTTCCCTTCTTAGTGAAACCAGACTGCAATTACCTTCTAATGAAGGTTGGTTTTCAAGTTTGAAAGGCAGGAATGTTATTTTAGAGAGAGTTTTGTTGTGAGTCATGGGAGAGCTGGGTGAGCTGTGGAGCAGATCCTGCAGGGACAGCTCTGCATTCATTAATCATGGGAAGTTGCTCTTGCTGCCTGTCACCGTTCGGGGTTTGGCCCTCACCTACAGTGGGCTGTCAGTCACTCCTTCCTTGCTCTGCTGTTGCATCACTCCTCAAACTCCCGACTCTCTTGGTGGGAATTCTCCAGGAGAGGAATTGTGAGTGTAGCTCCCCTCGGAGGCAAATCCTGCACAGCCCTGAGATCCCGGGATCTCCGAGCTCCGGGAGGCGGCACCCCGTGCTCCTGGGGTGTGACAGATGGAGTGAAGCAGCTCCTCAGCAGCAAGTCCCATCTGATGTGGGTTTCCAGATCCTGATTTTCTGCCTTTGCTCTGTGATGTTTTCAGGCGGGAGCTACTTCCATGTGGGCTTCCTGCTGCGGGTTGCTGAATGAAGTCATGGGCACGGGGGCAGTGCGTGGCCAGCAGGCTGGCTTTGGGGGAGGTGCAGGCCCCTTCAGGTTTACACCAAGCACAGGCTTCTCAGCATATCCAGCTCCTGCTGCAGCCAGCACCAACATCGTCTGCAAAGCCTGTGGACTTTCCTTCTCAGTTTTCAGGAAAAAAGTGAGTATATTTCCTATTGCTCTGGATTTTTACCCCTCTGAACTCATCTGTGGCATACTGGGAGATGAGTGTTTTCCTCAGAAACCTGAGGCAGATAGAGGCCTCAGGGAGGGAGGGAGTGCCTTATTCTGAGGTCACAGGAAATTATTCTCAACTAGGATTAGAAGTTAGTAAGTCTGATGTTCATTAGTGACACATTGGATCTGGGCTGGCCTGGAAATTAATGGGCTCTGATTTGTAAGATACATGTGTTAGCTTCAGAATCTTGAACAGTAAGGCAAATCTGTTTTTGAAGGTGGCTGCAAACAGTGGTTGAGTACTGGAGAGAACAAACTGGGTGATGGAAAAGTTAAAACCTCACAATACAGTATTAGTTTCTTTCTGGCAGTTCTCATGCAGTTCTGGTTGTTCCCTGACCAGCTTTAGTTCTGCTTAAGGCTGTTGTGCTCCAACAGCCTCTTCCTTCTTTGGGAGGCAGGTTGGTGGGTTAATGCAGATAAATAAAACTGAGCTAATTAATTTACTATTTCTGTGTATCACAACTGTCCAGGATTGCTATTTTGTCCCCTCAGTGACCTAATTCTCTGCAGTTCTTTCAGGTATCGTGAAGCCTCTTCCCTCAGTTTGTGTGTTGTTTTCCCCTTATGTGTCCTGTTCACATGGCAAGGCTTTGTTGAATGAAGCATTGTGTAGGGACATTTCTGAAGCCAATATTAATTTACTATAATCCTGAAAACTTTGAGGAGTTTGGGTTTGTTCACAGCAGCTGGAAGCTGACAGTCTTGCCTATTCCAGCTTTTGTGTATTGTGAGTCCTTTGAACAAAGCTCTCTTCAGAAGTGACATCTGGGATTTTGGGAGTATTTCCCTCCCGTCTGATTCATCACATGCGAGGCCTGCTTTGAGTTCTTGCTGTCAGTAGAGGAAGCAGTAGGTTCTCTAAAGTTTGGGGTTATACTGTTGTTTCACACACATGAAAGCAGCAGTGACAGTATGTTCAGAAGTATTTTAACAGACCATAAAATTTGTTTTAGTTTCGCTTGTCTAAACTACAACTTGAGCACTTTATTAATTTGTTTATTCATAATATTTTTCACTGAAACCTCAAATCAGCTTCAGTAATGCCAGAAGAACAAGGGACTCCCTTGGAACACTTGCAGAATTGACAGGGCTGTTTTCTGTATTTAAATCTTAAAAATTGTCTGTTACAACTGACAATGGAAGAGCTGATGGTAAATTCTGTAGCCTGGAGAAGCAGAGAGCAGGGCCTGGATTTGTTTCCTGTGACCCGGAGCTGAATGGTTCCCTCCTTTCCCCTCAGCACGTGTGTTGTGACTGCAAAAAGGATTTTTGCTCAGTTTGTTCAGTCCTACAAGAGAATCTCAGAAGATGCTCCACTTGTCACTTGCTGCAAGAAACGGCCTTCCAGCGCCCTCAGCTAATGAGATTGAAGGTGAAGGATCTGCGTCAGTACCTGATCCTCAGGAACATCCCCACGGACACCTGCAGGGAGAAGGAAGACCTGGTGGAGCTGGTGCTGTGCCACCATGGCCTGGGGGCAGAGGACATGGACGCTGGCAGCCTGCGCTCCTCACGGTCACAGAGCTCGGGCTTTGCCCATCCCTTCTCCACGTCTGTGTCCATGTCAAACCCAGGAGAACTTGCCAACAGAAGGGGAAGCACGGGAAGTGGAACACCTTCACGGGTACAGTGATTAACATGCTTTATACAATAACATTGCTTTATTTTATTTTTTTTTTTTAATATTATGCGTCAATTTAAAACACCAATTGATACAGTTTGGAGGGACAGGAAAAATACCTTTTGTACCCTGCATCTGAAAGCTGGAGATAATTAGCAAAGATTCCCAGTTCATGTCAGAAGTGACTTAAATCTGGAATGATTAATAGCAGTTGGAACTTCAAAATGTCATTTCATTGTCACCTGAGATCACCTTGGTAGGAAGGAAGGTGTTGTATAAGGGAATAACATGTTTTTTTATCCTGATAAATTTCATTTTGTACACAGGGACAAACTGAAACATCTGTAAATAATGAAGAAGAAGAAAGTGCAGAAGAGCAGGTGAGATATCAATTACCCAAAGAAAAGATTTTTGGCATGTGACACCATAAAGTGTTTTATATCTCTGCCAACATTTGGCCTCGTGCTCTGGTTCTTCCAGAGTTTGCTGTGTCTAGCAATGAATGTCTGCACACACTGGCTTCAAAAAGAATTAAACTTTAGCCTAGCTGCTGCCGCTTCACGTGCTCCAGCTCTGGTGCTCTGAGGTAACCAGGGCAGTTAAAAGCACACAACTGATGTGTTTCAGACCCCGGGGCTGGCCAGGAAGAGAGCGAGGGCCTCCCTGTCCGACATTTCCAGTCTGGAAGACATCGAAGGGTTGAGTGTTCGGCAGCTGAAGGAAATCCTCGCCTGCAATTTTGTCAACTACTCAGGATGCTGTGAAAAATGGGAACTTGTGGAAAAAGTGAGCAGGCTATACAGAGAGAGTGAGGAGAACCACAAGACACGTAGGTTTATACTTTATTTCTGCTTTCTTAAGACTACTGAATTTCTGGTTTCCAGTTTCTGGTTTGGTTCTGCCAGTGGAAGAACTTGGTATCTGACCTCTGTCTGCTGGAGCACCTGGAAAATGTGTTTTAACAATGCAGGGTGCCCCTAGAGTAGCTGAACGTGGCTGTAATGATTAAACAAAGCTTTCCAGGATTGTGCTGGTTTTTTGAGACTTTCTTTGGAGGCTTGGAGAGCTCATCTTTCACGGTGAAGGTAAAATTGCACAACTGAGAATTGGTTCCTCAGAGAACTGGAGCTTGGCACCTCCCTGTGCTTTGCTGGGTTTCACAGGGCATTGGCCAGAGCTCCTCTGTTGCTGTGCAGATCAGGCACTTTAGGTCTGTTACTGCAGAATTAAAATCTACAGCGAGAAAAGTCCAAGTGCTTTGGTCTCAGTCCACATTTTCATAAGGTTGTTCTGTGGCTGCAGCTCAATGGCTGCTGTTCTACCCTCTCCCCCACACAGCATTTGGAGTCTTATCTTTCACTTGTGTAATTTCTCCTCTGACCAGTTCTTGCTTACACAAAACTTGGGGGAAAAAAAGTGAATTTAAGGTTTATTTTTTTCACCATTATCTGATAGAATATTCAGTTACTGATGGCAATGGTGACTATATGCCATGAAACTTGAGAGGTTTTGTTCACTTCTGCCACCTTTATGGCCTAGTTAAGGCTTCTATTTCTTAGACTGCTTTATTATTATTGTGTTTAATCTTCTGAGGAGAGTGTTCTGCCAAACAGTGAGCTCTAACATGGAAACCCAACACGCTCTGAATTTTAATCCAGCACGTTATTTCGCAGTCATTACATTCTGAATTGAAAACAGTTTCTTGAGTTTAAAGAATGAAGCCAAATATTGGATGTTCACTTGAGGTGCTTTTTAGTTCTTATTTCTTTGCTTATTTTTGGAGGAATATAGATAAATTCATAGCTGGGGGTTAAGGAAGTTCATGTGAGGGGATGGAGCGTGGCTGGGCTGGAGCTGCCCTGGCTGTGCAGGGCCCAGAGGGTGACCTCCCTCTCTGTTGGTTTGCAGAGGGGGAGAGGATGCAGCTGAACGAGGACGACGACAGCCTGTGCCGGATCTGCATGGACGCCGTGATCGACTGCGTGCTGCTGGAGTGCGGCCACATGGTCACCTGCACCAAGTGCGGCAAGAGGATGAGCGAGTGCCCCATCTGCCGCCAGTATGTCGTGCGGGCCGTGCACGTCTTCAAATCCTAACCCAGCCCTGCCCCAGTGCCCCGGGCGGGATTCCTGTGGGCGGGATTCCTGTGGCCAGGAGTGCTGGGTCCTGGGGCACGCAGCAGCGTTGTCGTTTTGGTTAAACTCGGCCTTTTCAACGTCAAGATGCAGAAGTTGGTGGAAGGTTTTTCAAGCAGCTCCTGCAGCGCAGGGCTGGGCAGGCCCAGGTGCTGCCCCACTGACCTTACAGCCCCACAGATTGTTGGAGTCAAACTGTTTACAGCAGTTCTTGCTCTCTTCTGAAGAATCTCACCTGTCCTTACGCATTCAGCACTCGGCAAGTGGTCAGCAAACACCTCTGCTTGAGCCCGTTAGCCTGCGGTGTTCTCTAGTGCATTAGAAGCAATGACTATCTCAGTTGATTATTCAGCTTTTCCCTAATGATGGAATGTATCTGTCCCCACAGCCTGGCCGCAGTGCTGGTGTCGGACAGGGCTTAGGAAGCACTGCCATGAACTGTTCCCGCACAGAAGCCCTTAAGCAATCTTGCTTTATGCCGATTGCTCCCTCTGAATGTCTGTCATGACACATGTGCTGTCTTGGCTGTTCTCTGTCAGTGTACAAAACACTCCATCACTCTGCAGGGCTCAGGGGCTGCACTGGGCTCTGCCTCGTGGGCTCCAAAAACCAGTTCCTAAGTGGTTTTTAGTTTAGGAATAAACTATTTTTTTAAGAAGGGGTACTATAGTAAACCATGTTAGCGTGGTCCTTAATCCGCTCATGCCTGTTGTAACTATTAATCTGTGATGATTGTACTCCATGTGCCGACAGCCTGATGTTACTGTGAGTCCTGATCAGGGGCACCACCTCCTTGCTGCTAACGTGGAATGTACGGTGTTACTAACCTTAACCGGGGAGGGAGGGGGCAGGAGCAGTTTTTGGTTTTGGTTAAAATGTCCTGTTCACAGACTTTCACCCAAAGCAGCTTCCAGGGGCTGCTGAGGGCCCTGTATTGCTGCCAGCCCTTGGCCCAGGGTCAGGCTCCAGGTCCACCGGAGCAGGAATTTTGAGGGTCCCTGCAGGATGTGTGTGAGCAGTGACCTGGGGACGGGAGCAGCAAGAGGAGCTCGTGCTGGGGGTGAGAACAGGGTGCCTGTGACCAAGCATGGGATTGGTGAAGCTCACTGTAAAAAAAGAGGTGAGGAAGAACCATGTGTGTCCAGTTATTCTTTAAGCTGAGTTGGTTAAAAAATGTATAGTTTCTCCTTTGGTTTCCCATGTGGCAGCAAAGTTCCAGAGCCAAGGCTGTGCCTGGCTGAGGGTGCAGGACTGGAGAACTGGACCTGTGCTGCACTGGCACCTGCTCTTATTTTTGTGACTCCTTAAGCTGGCTTGGAAGAGATAAAGCAGCTCCTCCTCACACAGCACACAGCTCCACGCTCTACTGGGCATTTTTCAGAAGGGAGCAAACCTCTCAATGGCTTTATTTTTTAGAAGTAACTTTTTAAAGGTACTTAATTCCTGGAGTCTGTCCAGAGGGGAGGCTAATGAAGAAAGACATGCCCTCGGTGTTATTTCCATGCTGCTCATTAGCCACTCGAACTCAATAAAGATGGGTGATGGGCTCTCTCAGCCTCTGTCTCTTTTCTTACCCAGCCCTGGCAGTGCTGAGGGTTACTGAGCTCCAGTTCTAATGTTCTCAGGTTGTCAGTGCTCCTGGAGCCTGACCTGGGCAGATCCCTGGATGTAACAAAGCCCTGGAAAATGTTGAGAGCCCTGGGCCAGAGCTCCCTGCAGCCACCCCCCCTGCCCCAGCAGAAACGTGCAGAGCCAGCGCCTGTTTTTGTACAATTGTTTATACAAATTCAACAAAGGTAAAACTGCATCAGGAAGGTCTACGAAAACAACACCATACAACAATGGCACTTATGAATGCAGAATTTTACAATCAGGAAATAACCATGTTATAAACCTTAAATGAGAACTCAACTCACACTTCAAAGAAAGAGAGACTACGTTTGACCATTTATTCTACTGCTGGACTCACTGTATAAATTAATTTCATATTGAGTACAAGAGCTCATGCTACAGAGTGAAACCCTCCTATGTGCAAAAGCTGAAATTGGAATTTTTTTAAAATTTTGAGAAAAAGGTGATTTCTATACAGATAAAAGTGTTTTACTTCAACTATAATTTACACCTTATTTCCACAACATGCTTATGTCACTTCTGAAGTATACAAAGCAGGATATAAACTTCCATTAAAACATGCTTTAAGTTGAAAGTATGAACCTACTTTTTCCTGACCTGGGCACGTTTGTAGATAGATACTGCCTACGAAGTATAGGTTAAGTTCTCGCCTACCATAAGTAAAGATAAAAATTGGCAATCAAAACCGAAACACTGGTAATGCATTCAAACATTGCATAAATAATTTTTAAACAATTTTTGTACAAAAATAGTTCTGCATAATGTAAGATGTAACAAAACAAAACGTGTTAAGAAGGCAGAAATGCAGTGCGTGGTCCACTTAAATGACACCAACTTTTTTTTTTTCTTGTTTTAAGAAATGAAAAGCAGAAATCAAATTTACACTACCAAGCACATGCTGTGGTACTTTAAATAACAGTATTTCTTGGAGCTCAGTCCTCTTCCAGGGTGTGAACAATTATCATCGGTAACAGTCGCCTTATGAATTTGCATAAGAGCCAGTGCAGGTCATCCCAGGTGGACTGAATTAGTGGCACAAGTTGAAATTCTTAACATGGGTAGTTTCACGTTGTTCTCTCCTCAACAAGAGTTGTAAAATCCAATCGCGGCATTTTCTGATATTCCAAGTTCCCAATTGAAAATAAAATCCCTACATGTTCTTAGTCCCTTCCCCCCCTCACCCCAGTATTTACACGAGTCCTTTAACTAACTCAGTTTTTGCAGAAGTTTTTCTTCCACCTGCCCGAACTGGACGCTCACGGACATTTCCGCTATGAACTGCTCACAGCCCTCCTTCGTCACTTGCTTGCAGTACCTCAGGTCGATCTGGCAGATGTTCCCACAACGTTTGAAGTAAGACAGGCACTGGTCAGTGACCTTATTGCAGTCTGGGGAGAGCAGAGGGGAGAAACTCTGATTTTTTCCTCCAGCGTGAGGAATCCCCACCAGCTCCGTCCCCATCCCCAGCAGAGCAATCCCTGCCAGCTCCATGGCCCATCCCCAGCCCCCAGCTGTTGTGTAGCCCATGGGGATCAAGCCAGGCAGCCCAGCTGTGCAGAAAATTCCACCAGCAGCTGCTGCCAGGGAGTTGCACCAGGAGCAGGCAGGGGCTGGGCCAAAGCCCCCTCAGAGCTGCGGTGCCCGGGCAGTTCCCCACGACCCTTACCTGATAAATTAATTTCCGTTAACGAATCCCGCGTGGTGGTCCCGACGGCGGTCAGCAGGTTAATAGACTGATCTGTCACGTGGTTACAGTAACTGAGATTGAGTTTGGAGAGCAGGGGCATGTGCCTGATGATCAGCCGCAGCGAGGCATCCGTGATGTCCAGCCCGGCCAGGCGCAGCTCCACGATGTTCCGTAGCTTGCTCCGGTTGTCGATCTGACCTGCGGAGCAGAGGCAGCGGGTCACTCCCACGAGCCCCGCCCCGTGCCGCCAACATTGCAGGCCTCTATGAAATGCACCGGGACACACAACACTGCTGCCCTGGGTCAACTTCAGACGCTTTTGCCTGTCTGGAGCTTTGGAGGGAACATCAGCAGGAACACTTGTCTATTTTTGGAACAGGCATGTGGACAAAGCCACCTCCTGATTTCAAAACAAAAGGGATGAAAGTAACTGCAGGGGCCCAGCGGAATTACAAGTCGGGAATAAGCAGTAGGCTGTGCAGTGCATGCCAGAAAGCAGATCTGATTTGCTCAAAATTTCACCTGAGCTGAAATCCGGGCGAATGTGGCATGACCCACAGAACTGCTCCTTCCCTGAACTGGAAGAAAGTGTTTCCATACTCTCTAAAGTACACCCGTTGCAGCCTGAAGAGAAGAAAGTCAGACAGAAAACCAGCACAGTGGCTCAGATGATGCCACAGAACATCCCTGTCACCCCAGGGCTCCAGCCAGGAGTGTTGCAAGCCGCTACCTTGAACTCCCCGGGGGCAGCAGGGCCCCAGCCCCGCCAGGCTCGGCTGTGGGGGCTCCTGCCCGTTTGCTCCGAGGGGGACTAAGCACAGAACGGGCCCCGGGCTGGGACGGGGCTCCCGGGCTCCTCCCGCCCTTACCTGGCCGGTTGTCCGTGGGCGGGGACAGGAGGTCTCTCATTTGTGCGTCTTTCAGTCCTTCCGCCCACTGCACGTCCAGAGTTCGCAGCAAGGGACAGCTGGAGCTACAAAGTGCCGACACTGCTATCCATGAGCACCCTGATAACAGCAGGTCCCGCAGACCTGCGGACACAGAACGGGTTGGAGCACTGGGACCTCCCAGGCACATCCCAGAGGCCTCCACTGGCACCCCCAGGCTGCTCTGACCACAGTCCCCTCCTCCTGCCCAGCTCTCCATCTGTCCCACCACTCGGAACCTCACTCCTTCCCCCAGCCCCTTCCACAGCAGCATTCATGACTTGCTGGGCAAAACCTGCCTCGAATAATTTTAACTGAACATGTCAAATAGTCAGAAAAAATATTTTTGGCTCATTTTAACCCACTGATGCTTCATTGTTGCACATCTCCAGCCGTCCTAGTAGAGTTTCCTCCTCTTCTAGGTCACCCCAGTCCCTGGAGACTTTCCCCAGAGGTTGCAGTTTAGATACAGACTGGTTTGTTACGCAAACTGGTTGGTGATTTGGTGATGAAAACACATCACTTACCTGGTAGTCTGTTGATAAGCCAACTCAGCTGCTTTTTAGATATATTTGTCCAGCTAAGATCAAGGGTTACAGGCTGTCTCCTAATAATGCCACTAAGCATAAGTGGAGTGATGGATTTACAATGGTTTAAATCTATTTTGGTCCATAATCTTTTGTCACAGCACCTACCCAAAAAGAAAAAAAGCCAACAGCACTTAATTTGGCACCTGTTTGGGTTTTGGTAAGGCTTTAAAAGGTGTCATTAAACAGTAGGAAAAACTACAGCATTTAACTGAAAATTGCAAAAATAAGGCCAAGTATTGCAAAGATAAACACAACCCCACACAATGTTACGTAAGTTTTAAGTCCCTCCATCAAATATATCCTGCAATGAAGCATGGAATTTTTTCCACAGAATTACAAGAGCCAACAACTTTGGGTCCCATTTTAAGTCATCCCAGCACTTACTAAAATCCGTTTTATAGCCTGAAGACAAGTCACCACTCCTTCCTTATATTTTGACTATGAAGTGTGATTTAAATAATATCCCCATTTCCTCTGTGTTTTCCTTAAAATTAGTAGATTTGGGAAAACAGATGCTCCCTCTCCTGTTGTGTGTTTGTGTTTTCCCTGTCTGTGTGGATTATGTGTCCTTTTGCTCTTTATGGGTCTCTAAGAGCAACAACACCAAGTCCTGACGAGTGTGCAGGAATCTGCATTTTCTTTTTTTTTTTTTTAATTAGCCAATACTGTATTTAAATAGAGAATGCATTTGGCAGGTTTCAGTGACATCAAGCCCATGGAGAACACACTACACACATCACCCCACACTGAATTACCAGCCTCTCCACTTTGTGCACGATCTGTTAGCAGGCTGTGCTGGAGAGGAGCCTGCTCCAGTCTGTCTGTCCTCGTGCACAGCAGCAGCCCGGGACAGGAGTCACCAGAGCCACAAGGCCTCGCTGAGGGGTCATGAAACCTGTACATCTGCACTCAAGCTTCTGCTGCTCTGTGCAGCCACAGCTGTGTCAGGGCCACACAGTACCCAAGCACAAGGGACACGCTGGGAGCAAACGCCATCAACAAAGGATTCCTGCAGAACGTGCTCTGCTGGCACAGGGAACAGGCTGGCTCTCCACAGGGAGACAATCAGCACAGCCCTTGTGAGGAGCACACGGTGGGATCCTCACTATCTCAGTAGGTATTTAATAACTGAACTGCGCAAACGCTGGCAGTCAGGAAGTCCTGGGGCAGAATGACACCAAGACCGAGCCAGCCTGGCTGTTCCAGCAGCAGGAACACTGCGGTGTCTGACTCCAGCACAGGCTGCTCCAGAGCCTGGCAGGCTGACACCGAGTCTGACACACGCAGCTCCACCAGAAGTGCTGGGAACGGCCGTTTCTGAGAAAGCAACACGAGATCTGCCGCTTCTGCTGGTCACCTCTTCTGCCTGGGCTCACCAGAGCTCCAGGGACAGCCACAGCCCTCCCCAGGACACACCGCTGCCTCCACCACCCGCTGTCCTTCCCACCACACCTCGTGTCCCGCCCTCCTTACCATCTGTTCCAGGTCTTGCAAACTCTCATACAGATGCACAAGTCTCTATGACTGAGGTAGCTAAAGACAGCCATCCAGACTTCCCTCTGCATCACGTGGGCTGCCCCGTCATCCAGGGGCAGCGAGTCCGGAGGGGGGCTGATGGGAGGTGGCCGGATAACGTGCCGCTCCATCTGGATGCACTTGGGGGGCGACAGCGAGGGTGGGGGCCGGGCTATTCCCCGGGGGGTGCTGCGCAGGCTGGGC